ATTTCTACAAGGAAATCTTTGGCCTTAGTAATCCCTTCGGATTCTATACCCCTGAAGGCTTCCGGAACGCCGCGCTTAATGATCATTAGACTCATGCGATTTGAATGCTCTCACTTCTCATACTCCTTCTTCACATCAGGAGAGCTATCCGTATTGAGAGGTTGGGGTTGCTCAGTTCTTATTGCAAGGTCTAGATCCATGCAGCCAAGAACAATTAATATGTTCTCTTTCCAAACCTTAAAATTTGTCTCATTGAGCATGAGAATTGAGTTGATGTTAGCAGAAATTGTTGCAGCAGATGTATTAGCCAAAATAAACAAAAGATACTCACATTATTAACCGTAATCAATAAAATTCAAATAATAACAAATCACATCTCAAGATATCTGGCACAACATTAATATCAAGTCTTTGGACTGTAATATTAACTTGTAAGTGATACCTTGTTACAATGATCAAACATTGACAATAACTCATGTCAAATAATGAAACTATCTTTGGATCGATTCATTATTCATATGTAAACCTTATAATTGTCACACGTTTATCATCGCAGATATGTATGCAGTCTAAATAAATATTAACCTTCCTTTGGGCCGATTAAATATTTACACGAAAACATACACACAAACATCTCACATTCCTCATGAACAATCTACACAAGAGATGTTACTTTGGCAACTTCTTGTTTCAATTAAACAATTGGAGTGAGAGACAACCTTAATACCTTAGTGCCATAATATTTGAATTAAATAATTGATTAACTACCAAATTAAATTTAAATTAAATTAAATTAAATTAAATTTCCATAGCTTAAATAGGGCCTCATTGCTTAATTAGTTAAATTAAGCATACTAAAATTAGGCCCAAAACCAAAGAGAGTTAAGTGGGATGTGCCCTAACTCAAATTATCTGCAGCCTTCTTCTTTCACCCGACGGAAAAGAAGAACAGTAGAACGAACGCAAGGTTCGTTTGAGAACGAACGCGGGGTTCGTTTGAAGTGAGCAAGAGACTTGCCTGAGGATGAACGCGAGGTTCGACTTGAGAATGAAAACTTGAGAACGAACGCGAGGTTCGACTTGAGAACAAACGCGAGATTCGACTTGAAAACGAACGCGAGGTTCAACTTGAGAACGAACGCAGGGTTCGTTTGAAGCTTTCAAGCCTCGCCAAAAAATTGAGGTAACCACCTCCTTAATTTCCGCACGTTTTCACGCGCACGAACCCCTTGAGGTTTTAATCTGAAACCGTCGCCGCCATTGCTCCAGCACCCAAAGGTCGAAACCTTAGGGTTTCCTGACGCCGCCATTGCCGTCGGAGTCGAGAGCGAGGCCGTCAGTGACACTTCGCCGGCGAGGAGCACGGGGACCGACGACCAAACAAAAATAGATCCAAAAATTTCCTCGATTTTATTTCAAAACCAGATCCAGAATCGGAAAAACAAAGGATGACTTCTTGATCCAGATCCCAAAACAATCGAAGAAAAAGCCAAAAAAATTTTAAACCTTTACTGTTCACGGAACTTTACTGTTCATCCGTGAACAGTTATAAGAAAAACCAGAGATTTAAGATCAAAAAAACCCAATTTTAAAACTTAAACCCCTAAGAATTAATCACGGGTGGCTCTGATACTACTTGTTAGATCTGAATATCTGAGATCTAATCCATAAAACCATGATTAATTCAAAGAGAATAAACAACAGAATATCTGAGATCTAATCCATAAAACCATGATTAATTCAAAGAGAATAAACAACAACAATGAGAGCGGAAGCTTAGATTAATTCAAAGAGAATAAACAACAACAATGAGAGCGGAAGCTTATACCTGAATCCATTGTTTGGATTTACACGGATCTGAATTAGGGTTTGATCTTCTAATCTTGAGGGTCTCTCCTTTAGAATCTCTTTAGATGGAGATTAAGAGAATAGAGAATGTAACCCTAGATTAGGGACTATAACCCCTTATTTATAGTTATTGTACTTTTATAATTTGACTCCTCATCAAATTATAATTACAACCTAGTCACATTTAGCCCATGACATATTTAAATACTCATTGACCCAATTACCTGATTAATCACTTTATGCGTATCAACTGAAAGATAGCAACACACTGATATAACATATGTGCCCACAAATAGATTTAATTAGATTTAAATCCAACATCACATGCATTGCAGATAGTCCCCCTCACAAAACCCCATATATTACACACAAACCCTCCAAATCTACAAAAAAGCCTTCTGAACTTCTGTAAGTCACAGAATGATCCTCAGAAAACAAACCATAATTACAATTTACCCCTGGAAAAATACATAACTTGCAATTCGGTCCAGAACTTGCAGTTTACTCCCTAAAAAGTGCCAAAATTGCAATCGTAACCAGTTTTTGCAATCCTATCTAAAAATTGTAGTTTACTCCTTTTGAAAAACCAGAATTTCAGCTCCAGTCCAGTTCTGTTCAGAAATTACAAAAAAGACCCTGGCAGTCCAGAATTGTAGAAAAGAACTAGTTCTGTCTAGAAATTGCAGAAAAGACCCTGGAAGTCCAGAATTGCAGAAATGACCATCGCAGTCCATAATTGCAGAAAAGACCCATTTTCCGTCCAAAATTAAAAAAAAAACCAAGATCTATCTAGAATTGCAGATATTGTGCTTTAGTCCCTAAGATACAGAAATATTAGAAATTGTGATTCAACCGTCTGTAAAATTTAGAGATTGCAAATTATAATTTCGTCTCTAAACTTCCATGAATTGTGGATTGATCTCTCAAAATATCAAAAATTGAAAGATAAATTCAAGAAGATACGAAAGTCCCCAAACTCGACATTGACTTTATGGCGTTAAACTGGATAAAATTTCAAATTTAACCTCTATGTCATTAAACTGGGTAAAATTTCAAAATTGACCTCTACATCATTAAACTGAATAAAATTCTGTTGATATCATTTATCTAGTAGGGGGTTTGGGTGTGGATTATTAAGGGTGTTAGGGTCCTCAATCTTAATCAGACGGCTGATTCTTGAGTCGAGAGTCCTATCCTATACCTGAAGAACACGTAAGAGATCGAAGTTGGGATCTCCAGTGGTTCCTCTGACAATCAAGTCAGTAGAGAGCTTCAATGGGGAAGAAGGAGAGTTAAGTGTTTAGTTTTTTAGTAAGAAAATTGCTTACTCTAGGCAACAGACAGTAGTTTCCCTTTATAGCAGATCCAAAGGGTATAGAGTAATTTCGGCCAAGTCTAAGCAGGCGGCTCAATCAACATTTATTTTATATGTGTTGGCTCCAGAGGAGGATGAGTCACCCAGGCATTTAATATGAGGGTGACGGAGAGTGCATAGTGCTAATGAGGTCCGATGAGTCATAAAAACTTTCGGGACTGGAGAAATAATAACTTTAATCACGTATTTAATGTGATGGCAGTCGACTGTCGGCAAAGGGCCTGAGGACACACTGCCTCTCGACACGTCTCCCTGGAGAGTCAACAAGTGACGTCTTTCGTCCCAATCTCTGCGAGTGCGTTGATAAGTACCGCTTTTTTAGTCGGCTTTGAAAGTTGTTGATCCTGCCTCATAGAGTAATGGAGTAAGGTCAGCTCAAAATAGGGTGTTCGAGTGATAATGCCTCTTGACTCAGCCCTTCTTGGGATGAGTTGTGCTAATGTTGCTTGAGTTGTCCTGGCTAGGGCGAAGCCAATCTGAGGATTAGTTAGCATGGGACACGTGTCGACTCTAGAAGGACTAATACTTAGGTTATTTATAGGATATAACAAATTTCAAAATTGACCTAAACATCATTAAACTCGAATGAGTTTCCAAATTTGACATCTACGTCGTTAAACTAATAATATATTTAATTTGACCTTCATGTCGATAAACTGGACAAACTCAAATTTGACCTCTAAGTCACTAAAAACTGGACAAAATTTCCAAATTTGACCACTATATCGTAAAACTAGATAAATTTCCAAATTCGACCACTACATCGTATCACTGGATAAATTTCCAAAGTCGATATCTACATCATTAAACTGGATAAATTTCTAAATCCGACCACTACATCATTAAACTAGAGCAAAATATCAAATCCGACCACTACGTCGTTAAACTAGAGAAAAATATCAAATTTGACCTCCACGTTGATAAACTGGACAAAATTTTAAATTTGACCTCTACCTCGCTAAAAAGGACCAAATTTCCAAATTTGATCTCTACGCCGTTAAACTAAAATAAAATTTGAATTTGACCTCTACGTCGTTAGACTGGAATAAATTTCCAAATTCGACCTCTACGTCGTTAAACTGTGCCAAATTCAAAATTTGACCACTACGTCGTTAAACTGGAACAAAACTCCAAATTTGACCTCCATGTCACTAAACTAGGTTCAAAATCCAAATTCAATTTCACATCTCCAAGTCAAACCCAAACCCAGATTTCAATGGCCACATCTCTAGTCTAGGATTTTACATGAAAATCTGTACCCCAGGGGTATGCCCCTGGTTAAGCCATGTATATGATTATTTAAAAAATAATAAGATTATTGTACTTTCTTTCTTTGGGAATTTTCTGTTGTTTTTAATTACTTTCATTGACTCTTAATCGAAGGTTCATTTCATCAATAAGAGTAAGTAACAATAGACTCTTGAGTCTATTAGAAACCATAAACTCACATAAAAATAAAACCCTCTCCCGTAGGGTGAATTTGACAGAATCGATATACAAGACAAAGTTATCTATCTTAATTAGATGCACTTATACGCAACTAGTTGAGATAGGCAATTTTGACCCCCACAATAACAAACTAATAGGAATTTTAGTTGTTCATCTTCAAGACATGAGAACTGCAAAAGAGAAATTTCTTCCTGAAAAGAGTCGGCTTAGGATACATATCATCATACAAATTGTGTGCATCTTCAAAATTGCACTAGCACTGTAGAAAAGTTTGTGGAAAGAACATATACATATTGCAGCCAATTATGCAATGTATAACCAGATCATGCAAACAATATACATATTACCTACACAATATGCCGAAAGCATAGTGTATTTTCTTTAAATGCAACAAATTCTCCTATGTTCAAAATGGTTCATACAACTACATCAATTTTCTATAAAACATTGTAATCTCTTTCAACTTTTGAACACATACAAGTGATCAGAATATACATAAGAGACCCGTGAGTTCATCTGGTCACATAATTTCATCTTATGTGATGGGATTTGTTACAACTTTCATCCCTTTTCATAGCAAAGAATGGGAAGAATGCATGATAGAGTAAGTTGAAAATTTAGCACAGGTTAAGATTACAAGGAAAAATCGAAACTTTCGAGCTTGTTCTGAATCTGCTGTAGAATTGTACAAAAGATGAAGAACAGTAACCTAACCTATCCATGTATACATACAGGTTGCCCTTTGCGCAACTCCACAGTATTGAATCACCAAAGTATATTTAACCTCTAGGAGAAGAACAAAGAAGAAGATTAATCCACCATGCTACGCCCACAATATTGCACTGGGTATTGTAATACTTAGGGATTCATTTGTTGTGAAATTGTAATAGGAAGTGCCTGATTGTTGTTATCAAAGAAAGAAAGAACAGTGCAATGTTGAGATTGAGCAGAAACTTCATTTGATTGAAACCTGAAACAAGTATTTCCTATTTTAGGTGAATGAATGCAAACAAGATAAATCCTATTTTGTGAGAAACTGAACAGGGCATAGTTGTCAGATACTTTAATATGTAAATGTGAACACTAGAATATAACATCCAATTCCAGAGGATATCAGTCCTATGTTGTAATGAAATAAAAGTTGATCATATAACAAAGCAGAAGCAAAACCTAGCAATATCAAAACCTGAAACACCGTGAATGTATATATAGCTTATTCTTTTGGTGTGTCACCTTTGTATTTCTGAGTTATGACAAGGGTTTCTAATGTTTAGAAGCTAACATCATTTATGTGGTTAAATGATGCTTCGATAGGTTTACGAAAAACAATATCTATTACCACTGCATTTTACTTGAAGAATGATATCTATACTAATCACTATCAAATGATGTTGAAGATCATGTTGATAGGCACAATAACTACATCTTTCAGCTAAGTGGGAGAAAAAAACTATATCCGATCTACTACAGATTAAGGAAATTCAACAAATAAAACTATAAGCACAAAGATACAAATCATGATTGTGTCATTTATAAGTATGGAACCATTTATTAGATGTTTTTCTTTCCTTTAACCTCTTACTTCAATGACCCTCATTTGCAAAGAAAGATCATATTTAAACCTCACAGAAAAAACAAAATAGCATCAAACACTGAAGGCATGTGAAAGAATGCTAGCATGAATGTTCAATTTTCATAAAAAGAATTCAGAAAGTCATGTAATGGGCGCTAATTATTCCTGAAACAACTCAAGTTTATAATAAAGATGTGGAAACTGAATATTATTTGTTTCTTATAAATGACTATTGCTTACATGAATTCTTAAGGAATTAAGCATTTACATCAACAGCTACGGTATAATGGGAGTTAAATAGCATGAAAAGTCAATTTTATTGGAAAATGTCAAAATCTTATCATGAAAAACACTGGTAGGGTTTCTTGCAAAGATTACCTTTGAGATGGATCAAGATGTCTCAAGTAACAATATGTTCTTGTTGCGTAATCCCAGTCTGCCTCAATTCTCGCAGGTGGCAAGCTATTTCTTGAACAAATTGTATTCCATTGCTCCCATTTCTAAGTGAACCAACGGCATGCTCAAGAAAACTCCTATCCTCTTCAAGTGCCTCCAACCTCTCACTTAATTGTGAAATTTCATTTCCAAGAGCAACTATATCATTCTTCTTGACTCCCATAGAATACTGCCTTCCATTACAAGAATTTGAACGTAATCTCCGTTCGATGAGAGTTTCTTTTACGGAGAACTTAACCGGAGTAGAGCATACTTTAACAAGTGAGCCTCTATCGTTGAGATTTTCACCATTGTCCATCGGTTCATCCTCCAATACTGAATTTTTATTAGAAAACATGTTAAGCTTTCTCTCAAATCTTTTCAAGCATTCTGAGATATGAACTTTCTCATCTTCGAAATCCAACACTGTGTTCCTCATCAGAACTTTGCCAATATCGCAGCCACTAGATCCCATGATCCCCGGTGTGCTAACAGGAGTATACTCAGCATATTCCCTCTCTTCGGAATCAAATGACTCTTCAAGAACTCTGCTCGTCAACGGTTCACCACCAAATTGCTTCCTATAGCTATTGACCATCTCTTCAAGATCTAGTATTTCTTTATCTCTATCATCAAGTAAATCATTTAATTTTTGAAGTGCCTCTTCATCATACTCAGCTTGCTCCTCCATCATCCTTAAATACTGTGAAGCTTCCATTTGTATCGCTGCCTTCTCTTCTTGCAACCTATTAATCATGCACATTGCTTGATTCGCCGAAATCGCAGAAGCATTTCTCTCTTCCTCCAACTCTTTATACAAAACACTAATGAATTTTCTATCCATTTCAATTTGTCTCTTGAGCCGATCCTCTACATTTTCTCCTTCGATTTCACTTAAGCTTCCATCTAAAGACTCAACTCCAGACTCACATCTATCAACTATGGATCTCCTAGCATTGAAAGGAAACCCATTAGAGCTTGAAGCATCGGATAACTTGGATTCATCGAGTTGTGAATTTGTTTGGGGAGTTGAAGACATATCATTCCATGGGAATTCAAGCCAGCGAGATGTGGAGATTTGTGTGAGTCTTGATTTTAGATCTTCAGGGATTCTGGAAGAGTCTTTGGCAGTGAGCAAGTCAGAGGAGGATGGAGATGGAAGGGGGACTGTGCTATTAGAGGCGAGCTTCTCGTTCATTATTTGGTTTGTTTTTAAGGCTATGTTGACTGAGCTCAAAGGCTTGATAGAATCTCCGTTTGAAGTAACGCTACAATTGTCTGCAGCATCTACTGCAAAAGAGAAATTGTGAAAAGGTCATATGAAATTGTTGCATTATCAGTTCTTGGATGCAACAACAATAGAACTATCCCGGCAGTTCTATTGTTGCAGATAAAGCCCCTGAGTGAAATTATTTTTACCCTTTCGAAAGGGTCTATATACGACAATAGACTAAGAGTTAGTATGTTCAATTTGGCGATAGTATGAGGGTTTATCTGGAATTAACCCTATAAAATAGAGCAAACACCAGTTCCAATTAAGCATATAAGTAGTAAAATGACAGGTAGGAAGAATATGGAGAAATTAGTTCTGCAGCACTCGCATTAGTTTCATAAAATGATCTTAGAAGAGCAAACTTCCAAATATTTTTATCATATAAATTTTCAAGCATGATAAAGTCTTAAAGATTAGTTTAGATTTTAAAAGAAATTTGTGTTCAATATTGTTGGTGAGCTATTTTGAGAAGGGGGGAAAATTAGAAGGACAACAATAAAATTGCTATTATCCATTAGTTATAATTGATGAAAAGTATAGACTTTTTGGCATATAAAAAAGAAAAAAATTCCCTTATTGACCTTTTCCTCATGAATCCTTCCTTATTGAAAAAAAAAACAAAGAATTAAGAATAAAAATGTCTGGTTTCAAGCTCAAAGGTAGCTATCACTGTTTGGCGCATGCTTCTCATCTTTCTACTTCAACTTTTTCACAGTGCATGGCTCATGTCATATTTATTTGCTCATTATTCTGTTTCTGGTGCTAATGTGTTATGGTGGATACAATCTGCAATTAGGGAACATTCTCGCTATTACTTTGGTATTAGTGTAGCTCACCTACTTTTGTAGTTGTAACTATTACTTCCATGATAAGAATTCATTTTCTGTTATGTTATTTTTATTCGATTTCAGATTTCAAAATTTGAACTCATTAGTGTGTTATGCCCAATTCTCACATTAAAAAAAATATTAAGGTTAATTGCGGATAGATCTCATGTACTATTGCCCAATCGCAGACACCCTCTGTGTGAATTTTTTTTTTTTTTTTGAATCTTTTACCCTCAGGAAGTGTATTGTTCACTCATGGGGTCTATCTGTAACAATAAAACTATAAGGGATCTATCTGCAATCGGACAACAGTGCAACTAACCTAGCTGATAAAACAAGGCTTCTACATAAAAACATTTAAACCAATTATTCGACAAAAAGTCATACTTTGCACTAGTGTTGTTCATTTTGTGATGGGTTTGAACTTTTAAAGCAGTAACTATTAGGTGCATGATGAGAATTATTTTGTTAATATTCTACTTATTCAATTTTCAGATCTTGATCTTATGCTTATTAGTCTGTCATGCCCACTTCTCACAATAAAAAGAGATAAAATAAAGCTTCTACATAAGAAATGTAAGATTAA